ACATGCTTGGGTATTTTTCATTGGATGCTGTTAAATTGTCCCAGATTGTATGTATGAATGTGATTTTTAGGGCCCCTTAATTGTACCCCCTTGGAGGGTTAGGGTCTGATGTGAATGAAAAATATTATTAATATATTATTAAAGCCTGCGAAAAAAATTGAAGCACTATAAATACCTGAAAAAAAAAAAAATAATAATTTTTTTTTTGATAGAAAGATAACGCCTTTAAATTTGACATGAGTTTCCCTCACTTTTACCCAACCCCCCTGTGAGGTTGTCCCCCCCCCCCCCCCAGTCTTTGTTTTTGCGTTGTCTTTTCTCTTGTCTAACCCCTAGGTTTAAACCATTTCTGTCATTTGTTTGTGGTGCTTTTTTCTGGGTTTTTTTTTCCCCCCCTTTCCACTCTTTAAATTTTCGCTAAACTTGAACTAAAACTGTCGGGGATTTTTAAGGGGGACATACCCTGAAAGCTTTCCTAAAAATTGTTGTTAGTGAAATAAAAAAAGTATCATCATCTGTACTCAGTTGTTTCTGAGGCCACATGGAAAAAGTTTGTTCTGGTCAGATGAGACTAAAATGGAATGATTTGCCTCAACACTGAAACGATATGTCTGCGGAAATCCAATCCAGCTCACCATCCAAATACCACCATTCCTACAGTAAAGCATGGAGGAGGGAATATCTGCTCTGCAGGGAGCTCTGAAGGACTTCTTGCCAGGATAGAAGGAAAAATGGATGGGCAAAAAAATACTGTCATATTCTAGAGGAAGATCTGTGCCCCTCTGCCAGAAAGATGTCAATGGGAAGAAGGTTTATCTTTCAAACATGACAATGACCCAAAGCACACAGCAACAATGAGTGCACAGTGGTTAGAGAAGAGAAAGGTGTATGTCCTTGTATGGCCGAGTCACAAAGCCCAGACTTAACACCCATTGAAAATCTGTGTTGGAATGACTTGAAGACTGCAGTCCACATACTGGTCACTATCAAATTTAACTGAACTTGAGCAGACCATCGGGGTTCTTGGTCACCTCTCTTACTAAAGCCCTTCTCCCCAATTGAATTTACCACAGATGGACTCCAATCAAGGTGTAAAAACATCTCAGCAACGATCAAGAGAAACGGGAGGCACTGAGCTAAATTTCAAGTGTTGTTGCAAAGGGTCTGAATACTTATGCCAAGTGATTGATACATACTTTTTTTATTTTTAATTAAGGTGGATGCTGCCAAAATCATCCACCTTACTAAGCATTCTGTATCTGTATGGAATCAGCATTTGAATTCAAATTTATTTTAATTAAAATTTGAATTTTGGAAGATGGTTATATTCTTTCTATTTTATTCTATTATATTCTATTGCTTTTTCTATTCTTTTCTATTATTTTCTATTCTATTTTATTATATTCTTTTATTTTCTATTTATTCTGTTTCTGTTTTACTCTATTCATTTCTATTCTATTCTGTTTTTTTTATATTATATTCTTTATGAAATTTGAATTTTGGAAGTTGGCTATATTCTAATCTTATTCTAAACTATTCTATTTTTTTTTCTATTCTATTCTTTAATTTTCTGTTATATTCTGTTCTTTTCATTTTTTCCCTGTTCTATTCTTTTGTATTCTTTTCTATTTTATTATATTATTTTAGATTCTATTATGTTCTGTTTTACTCTATTCTATTATTTTTCTATTCTTGTCCCTTATTTTCTATTCTATTGTATTCTTTTATTTTATTGTCTATTCTATTCTGTTCTTCTCTGTTCTATATTTTTATATTATTTCCTTGTCTATTATTTTCTATTCTATTCTGTTCCTTTTTTTTCTACTTTATTTTATTCTCTTCTTTTATTTTCTATTCTGTTCTGTTATACGGTATTATGTTCTTTTCTATTCTATTTTTTAATACTATATTCTTTTCTTTTCTATTCCTTTCTTTTCTGTTCTATTTTACTATTCTTTTTTTTTAATTCGGCTTTGTTTTCGAATTAGATTTTGTTTTTGAATTTGATTAGAATTTCTCTCAAAATTTGGTTTCATTATTTCTGATTCGTTTTTTTATTATTATTATTATACAGTATTTATATAGCGCCAAAGGGTTTGCTCAGCGCTGTACAATAGCAAGGGGGACAGAACATGAGCCAAGACAGAAACAATGCAATACACGAGGGCTTCGAGGGCCCTGCTCTTTTGAGCTTACAATCTAGGAGGGTTTAAATTCATCTCCGAATAATGAAAAATTTGTCCAAATGGCCATTCGGAATGAAACGAAACAAACTGCACGTCTAGTCATTTTATTTGTTTCTCACTGCTGTTGAATACATATCATAATTGTAACTATGAACTACAGAAGATCTGTCATGCTTTGTGTTTTTTTAAAGCTGATTTACGTAAAGCGCTATGGCCCATGGTGGAAGTCAACAATCGGCAATACATACAAAATGGTGTGCATCTCTGACCCGGCCATCTTTGAAAAGGTGGTGCGACAGGAGGGCAAATATCCGGTCAGGAATGAAATCGACCTGTGGAAGACCCACCGAGAACTGCGCAATCTGGCCCGTGGGCCAATCACTGAGTGAGTTCATTGAGGATCAGGTATCACAGGGTCAGCTTCACTATATGGGGACATACTAAGACCATGTACTGTATGCAGAGTAACCAGGGCTTTTCTTCTCAGAGAATAGGTGCAGGAACTCCCCCCTTGTATCCATCCTCTACACACCTCTGAGCACCGTCCCTTGGTTTCACCCCCTACCCACCTCCCAGTACGGCCCCTTTTAGTCCCCCCCCCCCCGCAACGATGGACCCCAAAAAACAAAATATCACCCAGGCAATATCAAACCGCCTGCAGCAACAACAGATCTCCCAGCAGCCAGCATTAATAGACCCTTCAGTAGCCAGCAACAGAAGACCTCTCCCTCAACAGTAGACCCCTCACATAAACAATAGACCCCCAGCAACATAAGACCCCCCCCCCAAGCAACAATATATCCCACCATCAGAAACATTTTACCCCCATGCAAAAAAGGATCCCCTCCAGTGACAATAGATCCCCTAGCATCCAGCTTCAATAGACCTTCCAGCACACCCCATCACCCCTTGCCATTACATACATTCAGTGCCAGAGGTGCCGGAACCCAGTTTACAATATCATTTAGTGCTATGCAGGGGCGGACTGACCACATGGGGCCCCAGGGTCAGTAGGGGGCCCCATGAGATGCCCCTGGTACCTTTTTTCATAGGCTTTTTTGAGTTTGGGCAGGGATACAAGGGCCCCATGATCCCCTATTGCCCGGGGGCCCCATGAGTTGTCAGTCCGCCCCTGGTGCTATGGTACTAATCTGAGTTACTAAGTCAGTGCTGTATAATTTGGGGAGACAAATTACAATTTTTTTTTTTAGTCTCTGCCAGGCCAGTGACTATCAAACCTCACCCCCAAAACATATAGTTTGGCCACACCCCCAGTTTTCTGCTATCCAAGCTATTCTCCCTACAATGGTAAAAATATAATAGGTAGGCCCTACATAAAAAAAATATTAATATATTATAAGTGCATTTAGAAAATGGAAATGTGTTACCAAAAATCCCTATATCTGGTGCCTCAAAATAGTTGCATGCCCCCTAGTGCATGAACCCAACCTAGTAGATCTTATATAGATAATGATGTGATTAGGGTTGATGTGAAGCTGCCCCTATTATGGTGGAAATTCCACTGGAACATGCAAATAGAATAAAATAGATTATTATTTATTATTATTATACAGGATTTATGGCGCCAACAGTTTGCTCAGCGCTTTACCATATAAAGGGAGACAATACAGAAACAATACAGTTCAATACAAGAGGGATAGGAGGGCCCTGATCCTTGGAGCTTACAATCTAAGATAGGCGCTACATTGTGCCAAAATGAATAAACCAAATGAAAATGCAGTTTGTGAAACCAAAAATCCCCATATTATTATTATTATTATACAGTATTTATAAAGCGCCAATAGTTCGCTCAGCGCTGTACATTACAGAGGGGGACAGAACATGTGACAGAACAATACCAATACAATGCAAAACATGAGGGGATTGAGGGCCCTGCTCTTTGGAGCTTACAATCTAGGAGGGAGGGGATGGTGGCACAGGAGGAGATAGCTGTGGGGGATGGAGTGGTAGGAAGAGTGGAGGAGGTCGGCAAAGTTAGCAGGGGGTGGGGTAGGCTTCCCTGAAGAGATGGGTTTTCAGAGTGCGCCTAAAAGAGAGGAGAGTAGGTGTTATGCTCCGCTAGGAGGTGCCTCAGGCTGCCAACTGACAGACCTATTCAGAGCGTGGGGTCTGTGCTTTCACCAGGGCCCCTGATGGTGGGGATGGACTTGAAACAGTCCCGGGCCAGGTCACGACCTCCGAGCAGACCCACCAGTGGCTGAGGAGACCTCCGGGGACAGGTACCGGGAGAGCCAGATGTGAAGAGGATGGCGGCCCCAGCAGGGTAGTAACGGATCGTGGGCCCGTGAGGGTAAGCGGGGTACAGAATCGGTTGGCAAAGAGTAGTCGGGTCACACGCAGGATCAGCAGGGTAAGTCAGTCCGTAGAATGGTCAGGGCAATCCGGGTCAAACACAGGAGCAGGCAGAATAGTCAGGACAATCCGGGTCAATCACAGGAGCAGGCAGAATAGTCAGGGCAATCCGGGTCAATCACAGGGGCAGGCAGCGTAGTCAGGGTCAATCAGGGTCACTAGACGGGTGCAGGAACTCAGAATCACAGAAAGACCTTGCGGCAATCTGTGACAGTGCAGGGCATCTTTAAATAGTGCGCCCTGCACTGTCATTGGCCGGCTAGGACGCGCCCCCGGCTGTCATTGGACGCCTGAGGCGCGCGCGCCCGCGGCTCCTACTGCGCATGCGCGGCGTCCTGTCAGCCGCGGCTCGCCGGGACCTAGTGCCTGTGTCCCGGCGCGATCTGCCGCCAATGCGCATGCGCGGGGGACGAGCCGCGATCAGTGGACTACACGGAGCCGCGATCCCTGACATTGCCCCCCCCCCAATGGGCACCCTCCGGGAGCCCCACTGATCTCTCCACCGCGGGTGACTACGACAAAATTCCCGGATGAGCCTGGGTGCGTGAATGTTCTGGGCGGGTTCCCATGAGTTCTCCTCAGGGCCATAACCCTTCCATTTTATCAGGAACTGTGTCTGCCCCCCCCTCCTTCGGCAACTGAGGATAGTCTCCACTTCATATTCCTCCTGGTCACCTATGGTGATTGCCTCGGGAGGTCTGGATTCACGGTCCGGGAAGGGATCCGGTCTGGATGGCTTCAGGAGAGACACATGGAACACAGGATGTATCTTGAAGGTCCGCGGAAGCTCGAGTTCGTAGGCCACCTCGTTGACTATTCGTTTTACCGGAAATGGGCCAATGTACTTGGGTCCCAGCTTCCTTGAAGGGCACAGCATCTTCAAGTTGGTTGTTGCTAGCCAAACCTGATCCCCTGGTTGAAGCAGTAATTCTCCTCTTCTCTTTCTGTCGAATGCCCTTTTACTGTCCTCTTGGGCTTTAGCGATGGCTTCCTGAATTGTCTTGTTATTGACGGAAAAGAAGTTCAAGATGTCTTGAGACGCCGGTACCGGATTTTCAGGCATTAGATCAGGGAGGAATGTGGGATGATACCCGTAATTGGAAAAGAACGGGGATTGACCCGTAGCTGAGTGACTCGAGTTGTTGTATGAGAATTCTGCGGAAGGCAACAACGTCAGCCAGTCATCCTGAAGGTAGGATGTGTAGCATCGTAAGTACTGTTCCAGCGTTTGGTTGGTCCTCTCGGTTTGACCGTTGGTCTGTGGATGGTAGGCGGATGAAAGCGACAGCTTGATTCCAGCGCTTTACATAGGGCGTTCCAGAACCTGGAGGTGAATTGGACCCCCCGATCTGACACAATATCTTCGGGAACCCCATGAAGCCTCACCACTTCCTTAATGAAGATCCGTGCCGTTTCCGGTGCCGATGGGGTCTTCTCCAGGGGCACGAAATGTGCCATCTTTGAGAAGCGGTCGACGATCACCATTATTGCTGTGTAGCCTTGGGATGGTGGGAGTTCGACCACGAAATCCATGGCTATCATTTGCCAGGCCCGCTTGGGTATAGGTAATGGACGTAACAATCCCCATGCCCTGCTCCTGGAGGGTTTGTTCCTTTGACAGGTGGGACACGTCCGGACGTAACGCTCACAATCCTTGATCATGTCCGGCCACCAGAACGAGCGCCGTAGTAGTTCCAGAGTTTTCGTAACCCCGAAGTGACCCGCCATTGGATGGTCGTGGCAGTGCCCTAGGACCAAGGTTCGCACTTCTTCTGGGACCATGATCCGGTCTTCCTTCCAAAACAGCCCACCGTGGCTCTGGAGGGGTGACCCAGACGGAACGGGTAGTCCTACAGAAGCATCGAGAGAAGCCGGGAGCGAAGTTCCGTTTGTAGCGCGAGGAAGCTTCCAGAAGGTAAGATGGTGTCTGGTACCACGGCGTCGTCGGGGTCCTCAAACATGCGGGACAGAGCGTCTGGTTTGGTATTCTTAGTACCGGGTCGGTACGTTATATGGAATGTGAATCGAGAAAAGAAAAGAGCCCATCTCGCTTGGCGCGGTCTCAGTCGTTTAGCCGTTCTTAAATATTCAAGGTTTTTGTGATCTGTGAATATTAGGATTGGGTGCGTGGCTCCTTCCAGTAAATACCTCCATTCTTCTAGAGCGGTTTTAATGGCCAGGAGCTCCCGATCTCCAATGTCATAGTTACGTTCCTCCGGTGTCAACTTCCTGGAGAAGAACGCCACAGGGTGCAGTAGTTCCTTGGTACCATTCCTTTGGGACAGAACCGCTCCTACCGCGTTTTCGGAGGCGTCCACTTCCAAAACATATGGGAGAGAAGAATCCGGATGGCAGAGAATGGGAGCAGAGGTGAACAATTTTTTGAGCTTTTCGAATGCCGACTGAGCTTCGGGAGTCCACTTAAAGCGGACCCCTTGTTTCGTCAGTTGCGTGATCGGGGAGACCAGACCGGAGAAGTTCCTAACAAACTTTCTGTAAAAGTTAGAAAAGCCGATGAAACGCTGTACCCCCTTTTTGTCGGCGGGTATTGGCCAATCTAAGATCGCCGTGACTTTCTGGGGATCCATCGCGACCCCCCCGCGGAAGAGAGAACCAGTCCCAAGAACGTGATTTCGCGCTGTTCAAAACAGCACTTTTCTGCCTTAGCGTATAGCCCGTGTTGACGCAACCGTTCTAAAACCCGTAACACGTGACCTCGATGAACCTCCAGTGAGGGGGGAAAAAATTAGGATGTCATCCAAATAAACCACCACGAAAATATCGAGAAAATCACGAAACACATCGTTGATAAAGTGCTGAAAAGTCGCCGGTGCATTACAGAGCCCGAACGGCATCACCAAATATTCATAGTGACCGAATCTCGTACGGAACGCCGTCTTCCACTCATCCCCCTCCCTGATACGAACAAGGTTATAGGCCCCCCGCAGGTCTAATTTAGTAAATATTGTTGCCGATCTCAGTCTCTGGAGGAGCTGGGGGACTAGGGGTAAG